CATCTAAGGTCAAGACATTGTACTTAAATGAAAAGTGAAATCTCATGCAAAATGCCTTTTGAAATTCAATCCCCATTCAGTGACAGGTGCAAGTACACATGACTTGGCTTTAGTGTCCTCAACTGACTAGCAATTTGTTTTCCCTCTAACTTGTGACCATGCACATTAACCAGTTCAGAGAATTCATTGTCAGCAAGCCAAACACCTCTACTTTCTGCACAAGACCATGATAGTTAGCTACTTATTGTACAGAAAGCATAAAGAGACAGCCGGTGGAGATATTTTAGTAGCTCTGTTAACTTTTAAAAGTTTCAAACTAGCTGAGCTTTGGTTTTTTATGTCATGTGGTATTTGAGATAATGGTGCACTTCTGCTTGCCAATGACATTTTGCAAGCTAGCATTTATGTGTTGGGGAGAGGTATAAGGGTGTGCAAAACTGGGATTGGAAGGTGGGGTGGGGAGGGGGGACATGCATGCAAGCCAAACAAATTTACACACCTGTTGACCAAGGATGAGACTGAATAGAAGTGAAATCCCCTTATATCAGGGGGTAATATCTTAATCATCACATCCCTGTCAACAGCAGAGGAGGGGGAACACTACACAAGTGCACTCACATGCTGTATTGTATTTCTACTGCTGATTGCTGCTAGCCATCAACTTCCCTCCCTTTGGTGTGTGTTTGTATGCCACCTTATTCTCATCATACATGGTACACACTGGGCTAAAGGTGCCTAACAAATAAACAGAACCAACACTTGACTTAGTACACTTGACTTAGTACTACTACACACCACAGAACAAATGCAGGACAAGATAGACCAAAATACACACTAAACACAAGTTGCCTAAGTCATTCATTATACATCAGAATGCAGATTAAACATTTGCCAAGTAGCCAGTGCTTCTGTGCCAGTCATCTGTATATGCTTTGAAAGACAATGGTGCCAAGTAAGCATAATTTTGTCTTTTAAAATATCCTTTTTGCACCAAACATTGCAAAATATGAAAAACGGTGGTTTTGAACCCTGCGCTGTGCCTTACACATATTGAAGTGATGATGCCTCACAAACAGCTCTTCTAACACATTATTGTTACACATACTATATAATACCCACACCAGACTAGCAAACCAACTCAAAGCCAAGACACACTACTACAAGACACTTGTACATCTAGGTTGAACCATGCCTTTTTTTTGCTAAAACTAGGTGCAAATGTATTCCTTTTCAATAATTTTACAAAAAGTCTAAGGCAACTAAAGCAGCTTTCAATTCTCTTATCTATAAAATGGCATAAAAACTGAAATATGTCATTATGACTGTATTTTATTATGAAAGTACAAAAGTCAGGCTGTTAAGTTCTAAGTCCAATATATGCCTTGAAAGACCTTATATTATTACTTAATGCAGACTCCTTTGTCCTACCTCCATTGAATTTCCCTTTTTTGGAACACAACTTGAAATCTAGCTATTTTTAACAAACTTTCATTCTACAAAAAAAGTCCTTTACTTCCTTTGAAAGGAGATAGAGACCTATCCAACTGGTAATCTAAAGCCTAAAGAAAAATCCAGGCGATAAAAAATGTTATTCTGGACCCATACCCGGTTCTCTGATGGCAGCCCCGTCCCCTGCCAACTCCTCCTCTCCAGAGGGCATGGTGGATAACACTGCTGCAGTGCCAGAACTTGCCTTGGCTTCTTCATTCACTTGGTTCTCAACCTGAGCCTGCTAAAATGGAGTGTCAGCTATGCTAAAGAAAGTCTTTTTCCAAGATTATTGTCTTTTACATTTGACTTAAAGTTGACGATCTTGTTTAAAGGTATTTTATGCTGGATTCTTGTGCCAAATATTACTTTTACACCCATATGTCTTCAGAATGGCTGCAAAATGTTCAAACGTTTGTCCTTTTCTGTGAAAGCAATATTGAAAAAATAGAGTATTAATATAAATAAATATTTGAACATGAATTACCTTCTCCAGTCCAGACATTTTAGGGGGCAGATCATCTACAGTTACTATTTCTATTTCTTCTTCTGCAATAACAACCTGAATGAAGAAGAATAATCAGTAAATTTATCAGCTTCTAAAAATCTTCCCTCTTATTTCAAAACATCTTGAAAACTACAATACTGCTACCTGAAAAACTACATCTACTCCACAAATGATACATAAAAATAAAATGTGACTCTTCTATCAGATTTTTCAAAGAAATGCTCTGATATACAAGATCGAACCAATATCATTAAAAGAAAGGGCAATCACCATATCAAAGACACTACATGGTTATAATACTCAGAAACCCTCTAACCTCTCCATTCATGTAAGTGGCTCCATTTTCCGCATCTCCTCCGCCTCTGTTCTCAACATCACCACCAGAGGTCGCTGCTGTTGTGGTATCAATCACCGTAACATTGGAGGAAGACGGTGAGGCATCTGGTCCTGATGGGGATGGGGACTCGCCTGATGACTTCTCCTTTTCTTCTTCTCGTGATACTGCTGTCTCTGAAGGATCGTCTGCACTTTGTGTCTCTTCTTCCTCGTCTTCATCCTCATCACTTCCAATCCTGATAGGACATACAAAGGTTAGTCAGAGCAAACCAGGTAAATCTCAACATTCCTTTGTTTCCCTGGTATCAAAATTTATTTACAAACCAATATAGTACTGTATGCATCAAAAATCCACAATTTAAGACTGCATCATGAATTGCACTCCTATCACATACAGATCATCATTTTCAATAACTGTGAAGTAAACATAGTCAAATAGTTATGTTACAAGCAACAGTTCACTTTATTCTCACCTAGTAAAAGGTTTGGTCTCACTGACAGCCAGTTCTATGTTGATGGGTGTCTGTGACAGGGATTCATCATCTTCCCTCCCCATATCTGTGGCATAGGCCATCTCATCATCTCTAGCCTGGAATATAAAACAATGTTTAACTGTGATACTGAACAAACCTCATCATCATGGGCCTGAAATACAGAAATATCACATGGCAAACAAATCACAGGACAAATATATCTCAATCATCAGTTAAAGAGAGAAATAAAACAAATATAATTAACAGATTGCATTTAGTCGTTACACATCGTGCCATTACAAATTTGCAAATCATGCACTGACACATCAATCCAAAATTAATTTATTCAAAAGCAGCATCACTCTGCCTATATCAAACCTCTTTAGTCTACCAAATTCATAACTCTTATTAAGTCTTATTCTAACCTGCACATAAACAAATATATTCACCTTGCCAAGATCCTCTTCCTCTTTAGGTGACACGTGTAGTGCTGTGTTTTCCCCATCCTCAGATTCCTCATCCTCTTCTTCCTCCTCCTCCTCCTCCTCACTGCTGTCCTCAGTCTCATCCTGGTCTGGCAAGCCATCCTCAGTGGTCTCTGTAGATGTCTGAGATTCCTGAGAGCCCAAAGAAGTACATTCATATTCATATTCATATTCAATATAAAAGACGGCTTGTTTCAGTCCACAATATTTTTGTATTTCAAAAAAGTAATTTAATTTTCACAAACTGATGAAGAACACACAAAATTAAACAAACTTTATTTATTGCATATTTTCTTCAGCAAACCAAATCACATATTCAGCACTTCAAAATAAATTATCAGATGTTGGCCAAGTTCAGAGTTGCTGAGATGTGTGGATATGCTGAGTACAGTACCCAAACTAACCTGTGCCCACTTCTTCGCCCTGGTCCTGACCTCCACTGTGGTCTCATCCAGGTCCTGCATCAGTCTGAAGAATGCCAACTCATTGAACAACACCTCTGACATGTCCACCAGCAGGTCCTCAGCACACTCACGCATCCTGGAATAGATGGATAACCAATAATACCTTTATTAACTCTGCCAACAGGAGATACTTTTTATAGGTGTTGGTTTGTCTCTTTGTCTGCCTGAGAGTACGGTAATATGCCAAACAATTCGACCAAGATTAATTAATTAATTTCATGGAAATGTCAGTTTGGTCGAATTGATTAAAATACAGCAAATGGAAACCTTTGATATCGTCGGATTGTTAGGGGCATCTGCCAAAACGTCCATCTTTCCGGAAGTATTGCATTTTACCGGAAGTGTTACGCAAGATAAGCCGCAATTTTCGCCTAACACGTGTTTCAGGCATGTTTTATCCTCCTTCTGAAATCTTATTTTGCTGTGTACAATATGTGCTAACATTACTTAACATTACAAAAGACGACAATTATAATTTCTAATTATATATTTCCCTCACATACGATCATTTCCATGATGCGCTTCACATACAAGTGGGACGAGTATTTCCCCGAGGACAGGTGTTGTAAACAAAGGCCAGTCACTTATATTTGAAACCGGTAGCTTTAGTGGACTTAAACTAGTTATTTGAATTTTAACATGACAACTGAAATCAACCGAATTGAATTTTTTTACCAGTCTGAGATCAGTTGTTTTCAACCCCGGCTTGCTCAGCGTCGAGGCGTAGACGTACGTACTTCCGAAGAGAATTCAATCACCCGTATCAAAGAATACCAACTGGTACTCAAACGGAAATCAGTGTCACTTCAAATTACTTTTCAGTATTTTATTTAAAAGCATGTCATATTAAAACATTGAGAAAAGGCAAAATACGGAGCCTACCTGTGCCGATAGTCATACAGTATCTTGCTGGCACTCTTCCGATTTTCTTACTTATATACTCTCGCTGTGCACAAACCGCGGTGCATATTGAAAACCCCACTGATACAACCCAAACGTAAAAAAATCATTTAATTGCCATAATTTCAAAAAACAGGTGCATTTATAATTTGACGTGAGAATTGAGCACATGCAGAAATAAGAGACTGGTCTTAACTGGTCTGCTCCAGAATAGCGCAAACCACATGTTAATGAAGACGGTCCCATTTTGGGAGAGGAGGGTCACACGAATGGGGTTCTTCGTGGTTTACGCTAAATATTATTAACATTTCATGCATCTGGGGAAATAGAAAGTGACTCACAGGTAACGTAAATACCCAGTGGAACTCTCTATGAAGCTTCCATGGAGTTAAGGAAGACGTCATTTTTATTGTTGACAAATCAGTTATCCATGTAGGTGAACAGCTACACGTGCTCGTCAGATTTTGACAGCGCGTGGTATTTGGCGCCAAGAAGTCTGGGTCGATCTGATCTTTCGGTCGATTGTAGTAAATGTAAGATCTTGCGGTGTTGACTTCAAGAACGTTTCCCCATCTGAATATATATTCCAATCGAACTTGAAAATAAATTGCTTATTCCTCCCAAACTTTTTATTGCTAGCAAACGCTATATATGGTCTATATGAAGGTGTTTACGACGTATTCTACCCACTGTCGATGTTTGGTTTCATCCATAATAGACCTTTTTTTTAACCCCCCCCCCCTCCCCAGTTACGGGCGTGATGAATCAGTCAGCGAGGGCAAGTCTGCTTAATTAGCACAATTTGTATGTCTATAAGCACTATTATTGTCATCGGGGACAGAGGAAATGACAGGTACGTCATGTTTCCAGATTCGATCTTCAATTAATTGTTTCTTCCTCATTGAAGAGAGCTTTTGAAAGGACAACAATTGACAAAGGGCCGAGGCACGCAGCATCTATTTCACTGGCTTGAAAATTTACCGAGTCTTGCCGACGACGTGGTCGAACAATCGGAACAAGAAAAAAATTCTGTCGCATGATTTTGACATATGGACTAAATGTTTGAGCCTAGAAAAATTAATTTTATAAAATAATTTTTGTGGTCGGATTGACTGGGCCCGTCGAAATGCTTGGCTCATTACCGTAATAACAGAATTTAGATGAAATTAATTTTGATAGACGGTTATCCAGAATGGAAAGAAGTGCCTACAATGTCAACTTAACCTTTTCCTTAAATTTTTAAAAGAAGTTTTTGTTCTGGTACCCTTCTAAAATAACTGTTTTCTTTGGTGGTCTACACTCTTTAAATGCTCACTAGTTTTACAATGTAGTCTTGACTTTTTTTAACAATGCACATCAATTTACATCATGCAAACATTTTAATCAGATAATAACTCACTTCCTTCCATCAAACTTGGCCAGAGAATCTTGCAACAGAGAACCAAGCTGTTTGTGGAAAAAGCGTACAAACTCCTGGCCATCGTCCTGCTGTTTGGTCAGTGTCAGCACCAGCCTCTGTATGTAAGCCAGCAGCTGGGTGGAACACACGTCCTCCATGTGCTCCTTTAACACTGGGATCACCTCTGTCATGATGCTCTTGATCTGCTGGTCTAACTGCTGCGTGTCAATACGAGGGTACTGAAAATACAATTAGGATGCTTTTGATTTGCAGATATGCAGAGTTATAAAAGTGGAGACCTTATTTCCTGTTGCAACTGGTATTTTGTCAATACAGTGTAAATAACAACTTTTTTGATCTGGTAACTGCTACATATTAGTAAATTTTTTTTTCTAATTGCAGCTGATAATTGAATTAAAAAGATTTTTCTCATTTGCAAATTCTCGCCGTTTTGACTTTAATTTTCTTATATTCTTCAGTTACTCATGCATCAAGCCCAGTCAACATCCTTTCTGTGCTATGCCTCAAAAAAGTTAAACAAAAAGACACAGCCACTTTGCAGTAATAATCTATATAAGCCATCAATATGAATACTCACTGGCACATCTGATATGGAGCTCTCACTGCCTGGATCCTGTGCTGAGCTACTGGTCCCAACAGAGGAAGTATCCTTCACCTTTAGGCCAGCCACATTGGCAGCCTGACCTTTATCAACAGCCTCCTGCATACGCCTTTCATAGTCACGCACCTTCTGCATAGCCTGGAAACAAGACAATATTTATTTAGTTCCTCAAAGGAAATGGTTGTTTCATATATAATTTTTACTGCAGTGAACTTACTCATTACTCCATATCTGATATTGTTTGAGTGTTCAATGGCATTCTGCTCAAAATCACCCTCTCTCCCTCCACAAAAGTTTACAAGCAAATTCTGCCCCGCAGTGTTGCCCCCTTTTGTTCTTCATTTCAATTCAGGCATGAATTTGAATGCCCACATTCAATGTCTTTGACCTTAAATGACATATTTATTTGACCACTATACATCTTTGTTTATCATATAATTCAAGCAAAAAAGAGAAATAGTTCACCTTATCCAAATGTATCACAGTTTCTCCCAAGTCTTGAGCAAAGGGGGAGTCCCAATAGGTGCCAGAGGGAGGAGTAGACATGGTGCTGCTGGTGTCTGCCCTCTCCACATAGTCATAGCGGTCACTACGGATAGAACCTGACTGCAGTGATGCAGCTGACCGGTCACTGCTCTTGCCTTTGGCCATTTCCATCTCCATCTCATACAGTTTAGCCTGGGGAAGCAAATAATTCCAATTGAGTTTAGGGGGAAATTACACACGATTAAATAAATTGAGATATTGTGGGACTGTGCACAGATCTAAAGCATGCTTGAGCACATAGAAAACTAGAATTTAAGATTAATAAGTAATAAGTGCAAAAATAATAAAATGAAGTAAATATTGTGAGGAGTAAAATTCCATCACACTGAAATAAAGTGAATGCACATCTTATATTGTGTATCTCCACTGAATGTCAGAGAACTTGTGATTGAACTACCTTTACAACAGCATGCAATAGTCACCACAGGTATTCAACCCTGTGACTCACACAGTATACCACCATGTGAGGATCAAGAAGTCTTAATGTATTTTAAGTGAAGTTTCTTTCACTTAGTCTGAGCTGAGTCACTTTTCTAATGTGTATATTTGCAATTCTTTGCTGTTCAGTGCTCTGACACTCAGGATGTGTGACCTCTGACCTACGACCTACCCTGACTTCCTCCTCATCAGAAGTGATGAGAGACTCACTGGGTGTCTGCTCATCGCCAGTGGCGCCAGCTACCAGCAACCAGGGAGGAAGAGGCTACAACAGAACAGACCAACTAATACTAAACCAAAAAGTTTAACTCAATGTAAGGCAGCACTACAATTAAGTGAAAACTATGCAACTACTGGGCTCATCTAACTTAAAATCTGGTGTTGTTGACTTTCTTTTTTTTTTCAAAAGAGACACTCACACTTGAAAGATCCAGAATCCAAACCAAGTTAACAGCTTTGTCATTTAGAGAAGAAATAAATAAGACCATATGCTTCTAATTTTTTACTATTAAAATTCTTTTTTTTTCTCTCTCCCTTTTTACTTTGTGATCCACTAGTTTTAAATTTGCATACCGTTTGTGTGCTCTCACTGGCATCAACGCTCTCCTCTGTCAGGAATCGTGTCACCAGGTCCTGGATGGCATACAGCGCCCTCTGCCGGAGATAATCAGAGTTCAGCATCTGGAGCTCACGGAACAGCTCAATCAGGAAATGTGGACGGGTCTCATTCTGGGAGATCAGAGTAGCTACTTCTGAGTAGATGGTCTCACGCAGGGCCTCAAACAGGGAGAATTCACTGGGAGTGTCAGATTCACTAAAAGGGAGAAATAACATAAACCCACGAGTTATAGAAAATATTACTACACTTTTGATAAGAATGTAACTGATTTTCTTTGACCAAAAGAAAAATAAAAATATACATGGATAATTTGTTTAATTCTTATTTAAATTTTCACTTACAGTTCACTGTTAATTTTGGCCCTCTGTTCCCTGGCAGAGGATTCCCCACCAGGCAGACTGGACATGTAGCTGGACAGTGAGGCAGTGTCCATGAAGGCTGTCCCACTGATGTTTGCGCTAAGACCTGGACGGTATTCTTCAGGAGGAGGCTGACGGCGACTGGCTAACCGTGCAGCAGCATTGGCGCGACTAGGGGTAGGGTATACTTGACCTATCACAGCTGAAATATTTTCAAAAAGGTCAATTTAAAATGAAGCCCTTTATTTTTTAAACTTAATAAAACTTGAATGAAATATGGTCTACACAGTTTGTGCCAGAAGCAATTATTAACACTGATCAACATATACTATCATTTTAATACAATGTGTTAAATCACATGAGGTTTTACCTTATTAAACAACAACAGTTACTGCAATCTTACCTGACCCAGATTTCTCAGACAACTCTGACCTTGCAGAATCCTCAACATCCTGTCTCCTCCTGTAAATTGATTTTGGACAGACTTTACAATTAATGAATACTTTATCACAAGTCTCCTGAACATATAGACTGTAATATAAACTGCAGCTGATATCAACATAAACAAAACCAGTAGATTCAAAATAAATCCATTACTTATGTCAGCTTGATTTAGTAAAGAACAAAAGCATTCCCCTTAAGTTTTTCTTTGAGTTGGTCCATAAACAAACCTTTCTCACCTTTTTCTTGGCTTGAGGACCTCTCTCAAATTCAGCTTTGGTACAGGGGATGAGGGGGGTGGAGGTGCAGGCTCAGGGGGGTGTGATGGACGGTACCTGGGGTCGGACGGAATGACAAAGGGGTTCTCATCCTCTGATGGCTCTATGGTATCAGAGTAAGTGGACAGCTTCTGAGGCTGCCCTCTCATTTGCTGCTCTAATCCTGGATAATATGGATACATGCCACTGGCATAAGGGGACACGTACGGACTAAATCTATTGTCTGGGCTAAATACTGGGGACGGATTCATCATGGGGTAAGGGGGATACAGCAGGGGGGACTGCTGCTGGCTCATTGGGGGATACCCCCAGGGTCCAACACTATTTGGATGTAACCTTAGCTCCTCCTCCTCTTCTTCCCCCTCATCCCCAGTTCCTCTGAGCAGTGACTGTAGCTGGTGGTGGAGGTTGTGTATCTCTGCCTGCTGCTGGGACATTTGGTAGTACATCTGGTTCACATTGAACAGGAGCTGCTGCTGCTGCATCTGGTCTCTGTAGTGGTGGATCATCTCGGAGTAGGCAGTCTTCCTGTAGGAATTGGATGGAATGCTGATACCTGGAAACAAACACGGCAACTTATAATATATGTGATGAGAGTGGTGAAGAATTAAATGTATGCTGGGTGAAGTGAAGTTGTGAATGCTATTGTTAAGTAAATAAAATGAATGTGGGACTTAAAATAAAAGTATAATTCCCATCATTAAAACCAGATATTTCATCATACCATTGAGGATGCCATCAGATATGGTATTATCAATGTTGAAGGAGAGCAAATCTGTGTGAAAATACAAGCAAATTAGGAGCAAATAGGGCAGTTCCCTGAAGTCTTTTGCCAATGAGTATGTTCTTGTTTCAGAAAATACAATTGTCAAGTTTGGTCCTACATGAATGTTATCATGTATTTGGTTTCACTGAAATTACATTAAACATAAAGCATAACTTGTACATACCTGCAGTAGACAAAGCCTCCATGAGTGCCTGCTGGTCTTGTAGTAAGGTCCTACAAATGTCATTGGTGTTTTCTAGCTGTCTCTGCAATGTGACAATATAGTCCTGGCTCTGCTGGCCATCATCCACATTATCCTCGTCTTCCTTTATGATCTCCTCAGCAGACCGGTAATTCTGAAATAGCACCCCTTCATCATTCTTTGGTTGTCTAGGCTTTGCAGTGACTCAGTTTGGTTATTTGGAGAGAGATTGGTATCAGAGCCAAAACCAACCATTCTCTCACAGTCAATCCAAAGAACAATGAAACTTATAAGTTTCATGAATTTTATAAGTCTTAAAAACCAAATATAATATAATATAAAACAAATTTGGTGCATAAACCAAAATACAAATTTTATTAAACTGCATCCTGCTTTTATCCCCCAATTTTCTATGGAGGCACACACAGTTCACATATCATTTTCTATTGCTGCCACTGTGGCAGTGCTAATCCCTCACCTGTTGTTGTGCTCTCTGTCGCCTCTGTTCACTGAAAGTTGGCCAGCCACGCTGGTATATTCCACTGCTCAGGGGGGACTTTGACCATGGGTTTCTGTTTCTTGGATCTTAAAAGATAAAGTGTGATGTTATAATAATGTATGGTAGCATAAGATAGGCAGAACAACATGTTTCTTCATTCTGATGCTTATAAAGATTAAAACAGGCAAAACCTTAGTGAATATAGTCAGTACTCTACAACCTATTTTTGACTGCAGAGCTTCAAACAGAAACCCAGTCTCTTGAAAGGTATTTATTAAATGTCAACACTTATCATGAAAGTCCTCATCTGTACACTTACCCTGTGGGTCAAATTTGGGCCTGGCTCCACCTCTCATTCTTCCATCACTGGGTGACTCATCATCTATCACAGGAGGTCGTACAAACACCCCTCTCTGACGCTCTCTCCGCTGATATTCTTCATCAATAGTGTATGTTCCTCTGTCATCATCATCATCACGTGCCTCTTCTTCTTCCTCAACCTGGACTATACCATCACTTGGGTAGCCTAATCAACAGGCAAAATTCCACACTATAAAAAGTGCTGTGTATGACACTTCACTCCTCTATCTCTTAGAAATTCTGACCAACAAACAGCAAAAGTTAAATCATCTGAAGCTTAAATCAGTTAAAAATTCACTTTTTTCACTTAAATCAGACCTAGATTTTTCCAAATGAATTTAAACCGCCATATAAGTTAGTCTAAGCATATCAAGTTTTTAAGCATGCTTATTCTAAGTGCCTACCATCATCAATATCATCATCATCATCATCTTGTCCATAGTCATCAAATGTATCTTCTGGATTATCTACAGTGGAACCTCCCCATGTTGCCATGGTGACATCCCCAGCACTCTGGACACTCATCCTGAAAGATACATTATAATATAAGAACTTCTGGAACATAAACAATTGATAATATCACCAGGGATAATAAAGGCATTTCCAAAGAGTGAATCTTAAAAAATACTTCCAAATTTTTTCAAATCTAAATAAGTAAAAATTGTGTTTTCAGTGGATATACTATTAAGGTGACACTAATTCCAAATTAAAAAGACATAAAGTGGGATATATTAATCTATTATCTTCAACTTCTTGTTCATTTTAATAAGTCAAAATCATTACTACAAATAATGTGAAATGATCATTACCCATACCCAAGATCACTTTGGTTATCTTGGTTTCTTATATATGTTTTATTATTCCTATCTTTCCTCATCAAATCTTCCAGTTCCTTTTTCTTCTGTCTGAGTTCTTCCTGCAACATTCTTTGTTTACGCATCTTGCCCCAAAGCTCATCATTCATGCTCACTACAACAGTTACAGTGATATGATTATGATAGTTGTTAGTGTCATTGTTATCTTATTCATATCATTTGAAGTACCAATTGTCATTTGCTTAAATTATGAGTTAAAAATTTCTGTTTACAATTTTTAAAACCATCAAAAAATACCCCATAAAAGGAAAACTTATATGTCATACTTAACTATATCATCATCATCATCATCATCAACAACAACAACAACAACAACAACAACAACAACAACAACAACAACAACAACAACAACCATAATAATAATATAAGTGAGTAGTTATTGACCATTTTTGCTAGTCTAAAATCTATAACAGTGACCAAATAATGTAACTTAACAGATTTAACATGCACACTTACCCACTTCTTCTTCGAGTTCTGGTTCTTTGAAAGTTACACTTTCTTTACCCTTGGATTGTGCCTGGCGATTTACATGGCCAGGGTTGGGACTAGCTTCCTCCTAGAACAGAAAACAAAGACAAAAATATAAAATATTTTCTGATGTTTAACTCAACCAATCTTCTTACCATCTTTTACAAAAGAACAGTCTAGGTGAAGCCCTTAGAAGATAAACCAAGAAAGAAGTACAGTCTATTAGGCACTTGGGCGTCTCACTGACATATTTTACAATACAGCCAAATCTATTACTTTTCACTCAAAATTAGAGAAAAATTACACATCTTTCTTTTTTCAGCTTTATAATGATTTCTCATTTGAAATTTATCTTAGCTGTTATAATTTCCTTACATCAGGGAACTGTTCATGGAGTAGTTGCAACTGGTACTGTATTGCCATGAGTTTCTTTCTCTCCTCCATCAGAGCATCGAGCTCTTGCTTCTGTTCTTTCATCTTAGCTTGGTAGTACTGGTCTCTGGAGCTGATGAAAAAAGACATTTAAATAATAATTAAGGGTTTGGTTTAGAAATAAAAATTCTTGCAACTAGTAGAGAATAACTTAACAACAAAACAGAAAAAACAACAATGACAAAATAAATTACCAATGAGTGTGCTTTAATATAAAAAAAAACACTGCTGGTTCAAATCATGATCACAAAACAATCCATATTCAAAGTTAAAACTAAGCACCTTTCTGAAAACCATTTAACTACATGACTTCTCTATCAAACAAAAAACAAATTATAAACACTGTCAAAAGAGGTTGAGTCATCAAAGCAGATCTCTACCTCTCTTCCATCCTGGCCATGGTCCCATAGTCCTGTCCATCCTCGTCCTGTGTCTGTGTGGCCTGGGAGGACATAACAGAGGTGTCCCCATCCTCCAGGTCATCAATGCTGGCCGCCAGCTCGGCCAGGTCATCTGGGAGGACCTGGGCAGCCTCAGGGGACTGCTGGACCATGGCCACCAGCTGCTGGAGTCTCTTCAGTTTTTCTTTGGCAGCTTTCAGTTTTCTATAATATAGAGAAAGGTGATATGGTTTTATTGATATGTACAAAGAATTATTATACAAGCAACAGCTTTTTGGTATATAAAGTTAGGTAAGTCACTGCAAACTTCAGTTTTCTACATCATAACAACATTAACTGGACATCATACTGACTATTGCACTAAACATGTTTAAAGTCAAATCATAACATTTTTTCTAAAAACAATTTACATCTTTCCCATCAACATGTGTCATCTTTAAAAATTGTTTGAATTTCTACCAATTGCCATGCTTTTTTGTCTTTTGCTCAAAAAATGTGACTACTTCTTGCTTCTACATTATGTTTCACATTGCACATCTCCGTTTGTACTTACTTGACCTTCTCCTGTATTTCAGGATCATCTCCATAGGCTCCGAGATTACTGCTGAGAACAGAGGCAGACTCCTCCGTCTCATCTGTGGTCTCGTCTTCTGTGGTGGTGGTCATCTGTTGTGAGGTGGACTGCGACTCCTCTGCTGCATACCTGTACAACTGGTCAGACAGAGTGCCTCGCTCCTTTAATTTCCTACAAGCAAAAAATTACCTCTCACTGAGAAATACAGGGAATTGAATTCAGAGAATAAAGTTATTTTTGTGGCGAATTTCCTGTGAACAAATCATCAACAGTTGCACAAAGAAAAAGAAAAGTGTATCTTAATAGCTATCCAAAAGGAGGAGAGGGATAACTGGTACAAAGACTTATACAAAATATTAGATCTTTAAGCACTGAAAATTGCACTTACTTGAGGTTCTTCATCAGTTCAGGGTCCTCATAGTCACTGAATGCAGGAAGGGAAGAGGCATCCTCATCCTCCCCACCATCTTCATGGATGAATTCTCTTCCCGTCTGGTAGTACTGGACCAAGTCACGCAGTTGGTTCAGGCGTCCTCGAACTTCTTGAAGCTTCCTAGTAACAAAACAAAAGTTATTTCTTAAGTGTAAAATAAGATCACATTTTTCAGTGATGTTTCAATTATTTAATAATAACAATATTTCACTTAATCAAAATACCTACTTTTATTTAAATAACAATAAACAAATTCTCTTTTTTTTCTTTAATTTGTAATACAGTTGCACATCTTGTGGCTGAAAGTGGAGGGATAATGCTATAAGGAGTCTCACTTGAGTTTATGCCTGGCATCCAGCATCTCCAGCATGTCATTGGCTTCATTAGCTGTCTCATTGGCACTGGCTGTGGCTGCAATGGATTGACTAATACGAATCTGGGATGAGGTGGTGCTTCCAGTCTCCACTTCTGTAACAAATGTTTTCATGTGATTTTTACAGGGAACTTTCAAAAAAGTTCCATAATGACATGACTGGACTGTTACAGTACAAGTTGAACTGTAAAAAGTATATTTGCTATTCAATGACAATGCTGAAATTAAACTCAACAAATAGCTATAAAGTTTGCCACATGCATTTACATGCTTTTGGTTTAGCCTTTCCTTTAATGAGAAATTCAATCTGCAGCATACCGTTGTTCATCTGATCTCTTTGGCTCCTTAAACTCTGCAGCTCCAAGAGAAGTCTGTCCATTTTCTGCTTCTTATCTTGGAGTTCCTGCAGCTTGCCCTTCAACTGCTTACGGTCCTTAGTAGTGGGGGTCATCTCTGACCCAGTCACTGACTGCTGGGACATGGACTGCTCGTCTGCTGACAGGTTGACTGAGTCCGTCTGGAAATACAAACACATCATCATCAACTGCCACAATAATAATGCTGAAATTTTGGTATAATAATATGAATAATATAATAACACTGTGCTTTAAAGGTCAGGTCTACTACTACACAAAAAAATAAGTTATTGGTTCATGATTCAAGGGGCTTCTTAAGTATATTAGTAATCAGCATCATTTTTCAAGTTCTCAAAATCACTTGCTTCTGCTGTGCTTTTTTTGCAATCTTCTTACAAATAAAAGAACATATTCTTTAAAATAATTCTTCACATAAATTTCTTATCAACCCACCATATCATCCTGTCTCTCATAGAGGCTCTTCAGGTAGCTAAGTCTCTGGCGTAAAGCTTGTAATTCCTCTGGCACCACCTCAGGATCGACCTCTTCCTCCTCCTCCTGTTCTGACTGCTCTGACTGTGATACTGACTCATCCTGGGACTCTTCCTGTCTGTTCCTCAGCATCTGGAACCTGCTGGTGCCATCTGCTGTCAGTGTTCTCTCCAGGGAACCTTCCTGGTCAGAGTCAATGGCAGTGGCAGCAGCTGCATGGCGCACTGGGAATACAAAACATGTGGTAATTATGGCATCTTACAATTTGGTATTTTCATACCCATTGAAGGGTTACACTTTAAACAAAAAATAAAACAGCTTTACACTAGTTAAAAATATGTTTGAATGCGGACTTCAACAGTGTTTGCTCTATAAACATCTCTTTTAAATGTCAGTATTAATGTAAACATTGTCCTAAACTTTTCATATTTCATTTCCAAATAATACCTTGTTACGTCATTCATTGATTGTCATTATGTATTTCATAACAGTATTTCATGTATGTCAGAGAATAAATGAAAAAAAAAAAACATACTTTGACTCTCTTTGACTTCTGACAGTCTTTTTTCTGCCTCCTGTTGCTGCTTTAGCAATCCTGCCTGTCTGTCCTGTAAGTCTCTTAGCTGAAAAGATGGGCTGGACATTACTGACATTACTGGACATTACTGATAGTCATATCTGGTATGCCCAAATAAAAAAAGCCACTGTGTCAACTTGGAATTGATAAATAAGCAAAATTTACTTCAAAACAAATTTTAAATCTGCAAAGGATTGCATAGTCAGAAGGAACGTCAAGAAAATATTTAGACAGTCAAGCAGTTTTTAAAAAGTCAAGCAATCTGATAAACGAAAATCACTGTTTTCAAGATAATATATCATACAACAGTACACTAATATAATATTCAACTTAAACCAAAATTATGAGCCATACCAAAGATAAATCTACCAAAAAGGAAAAAAAAGAAAAGAAAAAAAATCAAACAACAACAACATGCTTTTTTAACAAAAGTGAATAAATTATTACAACTTTAGGGAACTATCTTTAACAGGATGAGGCTAGCAAGGAATAACAGTTAAAATAACAAGCTAGACATGAGGAAGAAAGCAAGCTCGGTGAGACTCCATGCAGTAGACTACCTGCTGCTGTTGAGTCAGGAGCTTTTTCAACAGATCTTGCTGCTGTCTCAGAGCTCCCAGTTCTGAGGTCTGCAGACTTGGGTCTTGGGACTGAAAACGCAATATAATGTTTTATATACTACAGCTGTATAAATATATGATTACACATAAATATACCTGTTGCTGATGGTAGAGCAGTTTTTTCAACAACTCTTGCTGGTGGCGAAGTGCTTGTATCTCAGAGTCTTGTAATCTAGAGTCTTGAGACTGAAATGATGTAGGTATCAAATGATGGGAATTCTCAGTAGCAAGTTTCAGAGAATCATCTAAAATGGTTTTGTTGTTGTCCAAGATAAGGTTATATTTAAGACATCAATTTTAAAAAATTTAAAATTCATTAAATTTTAAACAGTATTTCCTAGGAGTTGAAATGTTTCACCTAAGATGTTTATACTGATTATCCTGTCCAGTAAAGCTATAATTATTGCACACAGCAGTCACACAGAAAATTTTCAAGCTCAAATTTCTTTAAGTCATTTTTTGCAGCACAGCCACTTCAATATTTGTGAAAAAGAAGTATATTAAGTAATTACAAACAGAGCACATCTTGTCTCTTTTCCTGTACTAAAATAAGCAAATAAGCTTTCTCATGGCCACCAATTACATTTATTACCCCCCCCATCTTTAAGACTGCATTCCCATAAACCCATCGTGCCAGCTGGATCCATCGAACCTCTGAAGGGCTTCTCACTAAAGTGCTTTCAATATATTCAGCTTAATTGTCTGGCACACCCCCTTGAATAATTTGTTAATAATTCTTAGCAGCTTGAGTAGGCTTGCCAGACATTCAGGCTGCTTACAATGAATGCAATTTCTAAAATGAGAATCCTGGCACAGTTACATCATTTCAGCTAGTAAGCTGGGTTTATGGGATCTCTCCATAAGAGTGAATATAACAGCAGTTACTCTCCATCCACATGATTAACATCTCACAAGCAAAAAAAATCATAAAAAGAAATATAAATAAAATACATGCAAGCGAGAACAAGCTACTTCAGTCTCAACATGCAGTAAGAGTCACCCAAAGTACTGCAGGTCACTCAGAGCTATTCACATTAAATCAAATATCTAGCTGAACAGCGCAGCTAGGAAATCTATAACATACATCACATAAGAATATCCAAGATAATAAAAGGTCTCTAGCTGGGGGTAACCTTTTTGACATACAGGGGTGACTTTTACTACAATTTGTTCACCATGAACCCTTAGTGCAAAGAAGGAAGAACCACGGGATCCCCAAGGTGCATTAGTAAGAGGTGTAGTATAGGAGATATGTAACTTGAACAATTTGTAAATCCAATATGGAACCCTGATTTTCAAGAGTACTCATCGTGAAAGATGTAGTCACCATGGGTACTTTGAAATTCTGGGCGGGAACACTATGGCCACAGTAGAAAAGAGCAAGCATTTCACAAGCAAGGTCCCTTGCTATGTAGGAAGCTTTCAATGCCCAATACAAATACCCAAAATCGAAATCTAATAAAATATAAATAAACGAAAACAAAATATAACACAAATGCTGTAGTGTAACTACAAGAACTACTTTAGTGCTTAGTCTCAGCTTCGTTGTGCTCAAATGAGAAATACACAGATATTTTAGATGAACAGCCAAAAAGTGTCAAAACATTTTGTATATACAGGGAGGGCAATCACCCCTGTGTCAAAGTTATCCCCAAGGAAGAGACCCCCCTACCTCTAAACTATGTGACCCTGAATCCCTGTCGAAGAATTGTTCCACGTCTATATGCGGCAGGGATTGAGTACTATCAGTGGACATGTGACTACGGGCACTTAAAGGCTCGTTGTCCTCCATCTCTGAGAAGGTCATAAGATGGTCCTCTATTTTAGGTCGCGTGAATGCATTGAAGGAACGGTCCTACAGGAGCAAAGGTGGAAAGCAGATCTTCATATGTAGGTCAAAGTGTGGCTGACATGTTCTGCCTTGTTAGTAAATTGACAAGTACTTTTAATGACTTTTTCAAATATCATAATTCATGGGCATTGGCAAAGTAAGACTAGCCAAAAATTTCACGGTAAAATCTTTACATTAATTTCAAATGGATGACCTTCCAATCATCTTCATAAATTACACAGTCAACAGTTTACTCAAGGTGACTTTTATATGCCACAAAAGTTAAATCAATAACTTCAATAAAAAATAGACCTACATATGTTTGACACAAGGTGTTAAATTAAATCAAAATATGATGGAAAATAAACAATGTTCTAATTACATTCAGCATTAAAGCTAAAGAAATCAATGCATGATTTTGCGCTTTAATAGTATTTCAAAACAAGTCAAGTATTCCACACCTTCTGTCACGATAAGACTCATTCTGCTCGCTTTAAAAAATGGGATATTTTGGTATGCCAACTCTTGAAACTCAAATAGCTTCACATTGTGCACATATCAACAACTTTCAATTCAAAGCATGCATCCACAAGCACGTGAAAATTCCTTAACACATGCAAACTATGAGAGCATGCATAAACCAGTGGCTTACTGTTGTGGCCTCCGAGATATCAGACTGCATATCAATATCAATGGAAGTGCTGTCTGCTATAGATTCCACCTTGGAGTTGCCGGATTCCCCAGAGCCACCTCCTACTGCACCATTGATTCCCAATCCCTCCTCACGAGCAGCCTGAAATCACATGCATGGCATGTACAGAGTCCATATACCTTCATATATTAAATATCAGAAATGTCCAGAACCATGTAACAAGACAAAATAAGACAACCATACACAGAAAGTAAAATCTACAAATACCACAAGCTTTTAGCATTTTAAGGGAAAATTCAGACATTTTATTACTTAACTCTTATAACACTGAATTAATGAAACTAATTTCATATCATTATAAAAAGGTTTAAATATTTCTTAAATTTATTATTTAATATTTTTCATATTTCTGCAGAGCAAAGGAATATGAGCAGGTCTATAATTGTAAAATTAAATGTGAACCTCACTTACCAGCATTCTTTGCAACAGGCCCATGTAGCCTTTCTCCTGCTCCCTCAGGTGATCCACAAGTCTATTCAACTTCCCAATCTGTTCTCTAGCTTCCTGCTGTGACAGTAAATATAAACATTCAACAGGAACACTGAACAAATACCAGGTTAATGACAATAAACACAAATATCAACAGATATACCTTAAACTGCAGTTTTCTGGACTTGCTCCCTAGAGCACACTCCGCAGGCTTGCTGGAACTTGAATGAAGGCTAGCATGCATCTTTTATCAAATTGGTATTTTCATATCCAATGTATTCTCCTTCATTTTGTTACAACAAATTTTCGGTGGACCTTTTCAAAATCAAACATAAAACAATGTGTCTACAAGCAGGATGAACTCCCAAACTAGAAATAAGTTGAGTAGGTACATGACTCCTTTTGTCTCTTTGAATATGGACAAACAAGAGGTAAACTCACAATAATATGAGCATTCTGAAACTATATTATGGCCTTTTTTTAATCCAAATATGCCCATTAAACATGGTACAGGTGCAGGGCTAATGAATGTCCTCATTTTAAATTGCATTCCTTTAGCCATCAGAGTATTATTAATGCACACTTGAATCAAGGCATGCAATAGCTGAGTGCCAGGACTATAATGTGCTCCAAAAAAGCCAAATATGTAGTTCTTTGTTGTACATATTATTTTGTGTGTGCTTCTTGTCTATATTGACATTACGAAACAAGAATGTCATGACTCACCTACTGACTCAACACAGTTCTAATTTAGAGTTCACAGCCACCACCCCCCTTTGCTCTAGACATATTTATTTGAAATGTTGCTGTTATTAAAGACATCTGCAAGCCTTCAAGGTTAATGAAACAACTTCAACACTGAAGACCAAAGAGAAATACTCTTATAAGGACATCACACAGACCAAAAGTATAAGCATGACATTGAGAAGTTCCTGCTCTTGTTCTTTCAGCTCTCCCACTAATCGGCGCAAGGAGCATAACTTCATGAAATCATCCTACAATCAGAACTTGCATTATATGGAACATGATATAATACAACATATCTGAGAGCAGCATAAAAAACCCTTTAATCAAAAGTAATAAGTAAAGATAGGTGTGGTGATAAAGTTACTTTTAAAGATCTATTATATTAACAAAAAAGAGAAGTAATTGTAATCAGGGGCCAATCATGACAATGCTGCTTATAGTAAACAAGGCTAACATTCAATATGTTAAATTCATAAATGACAGGGCTATTTTTCTTTTAACATCTTGAAAGTCTTTCTTCAAACTGATTTCAAATTAAATGTCAAAACAAACAGCTCTAAATTTAAAAGGGCAATACCTATATATCAATATATGTCACATTCACTGACTTACTGTATCAGACGAGTTCTGCAGAGAGTCTATCATGGAGTTGGCCTGTTTGAGGTAGTCTCTGATTTGCATAAGACGACTCACTATCTGGTTACTGTCAGGCTAAAAAGGAAGGATGAAGAATTTTTTTATGAAATATTGACAATGCAATACAACAGACATAAAATATTTTTCAAAATACATAAAATATAAAGGCCAATCAGTATTGTGTTTTAAAATGCTAATAAACAGGGAATGGTTTGCTCTGCTTATTCTAATTTTCATACATCTAAAAGTAAACCAATGAACCTAAAAATGATTGCAAAAAAAAAAAAAAAAGATTGTTGTATAATCCAGTCATTTATATATTTGAAGTACTCTCAGTAATCCTTTTTTCAAACAAAATAGCTGATGTAGAGAAGTTGTCAGAGTTGCAACTTACCGGTTCCTCAGCATTGGGATTAGTGTTCAGGTTGGACGTGTTGCTGGTATGAGTGGAACCAGAAATGGTTCTCCTCTTGTTTCCATCACTTCCAAACATCTCCTGGCGCAAATAGTTGGAGGGATTCTCACGACGGATTGGGACATGTCTTTCATTGTTTCTTTCACCATCTGTACTTATCTGTTCAATGAAAAACTCCCAATCAAGAAAAATAGACCAATGCTATTATCACATTTAAGAGATAAGACTCGGTTGCTCTGGAAAAGAGTACAGCTCAAAATACAAGTACAAACTCTCTTGGGTATAAGATAAAACCCTAAGCTCACAATTACATGGCAAATACACATCCATCTAATGATGTAAATAACCTCTTTTATTTTAAGATATTATGTTATATTTAATATCTCTAAAAATTTGACTGGCTTTTCAATTACTTGATGATAAAACTCAAGCTTTTCAATTACTTGATGATAAAACTCATTTGACTAAAATCCAAAAGATACAAGCTATACACAAGATTTATATTAATCACTGCAAGCTGTGCAAGCATATCGGTGTTTATGCAATCAAGGGGCTTATTTCTGGTCTAGTAAGTTTACAAAACAAATGATAAAAGTTGTGCAGATTAAAGTTCATGACATTGTAAAATCACAACTACAAAACTCTGATAACTTTTATTCTTATTTTTTTAGCATGCTACTTCAAATGCTAAAGAAAATGAGTATTGCTTTTTAAATCAACTTTTTTCTGAGGTCATTTTTCACTTCTACAAAGTTATTTCTAAACTTGAAATAACTTCCTCATCTCTAAGTTTACATGAAACCCATCATAAACACCATCAACATAACTGTTGCCAAAATATGAGTTCAAGGTAATTTCTGTTTCAAGCTCTCCCAGGGAATCAAGACCTTACCTCTTCAGCATCACTATAAGTAAGCTGCTGTTTCAAGTTCTCCAGAGCAACTCTCTGTGAGGCAGGAGTACTGGCTGTGATCCTGGTACGAGGAAATGTGAAGGGAGTCCTGTGCTTTTGTTCATGAACTGGTGTTGACTCCAGTGAAAGTGACTGTTCCTTTTCTTTTTCTCTCTCAGGATTCCCCTTCTTGGCTCTCACTCTGCTCTGGTCAAAAGGAGCACCTCCTGGTCTCCAGTCAGAGAAATCCTGCAACACATGACGGAAACAATCTGATTTGCATGATTATCTGGTAAAACCTTTTAAACAGTTTGGTTAAGATTCTGCAAGACAGATGATACAGATATTCATTAAGTAAAATATCTATTTGACAGTTTTTGCAGTACCATTTTAATAACTGACATGATTGTTTACATAATTAACATATGACTTATCTAAGGTTTCAACCCAAGATGTACCACTAAGACTCACCCAGTTATTTGGTCTATCTTCAACTAAAGCGCTGCTTGCACTAGATTTATCATCCCTGTCTGTCAAATTCAGGGACCTGTAAGCAGCAGGCCTCCGAGGTTCTGACCTAGAACTGCGGGCCATTTGAATGCCTCCTGTAGCCATTCTAAAAAAGAGCATTATCTTCATATAACATATTACATAATTCATTCAAAACTTCGATTTTTTTCTTTTCACAATCCACTTATTAAACTGTCACTTTAAAAAATTATATGTCACGACTTTTGACTAGGTTCGGTTTGTAAAATGTTGTACAAGTAAACACAGCATTTCATTAAAAATTAGAATTTCCACTGCACAGGGGGAATCAAACCAATGAAAAACGGTTTTAAGTTAAGTGCAACTTTGATGTCTGAACTCAGTAAATCAATCGTGACGCGTTTGGGCGCCTAGTCAATCAACTTACGTACAATAAATATTGAAACAACAACAATATAACGAAATGCAAATAAGTCGGAACTTACCCTGGAATTTGCTGCAAGATCAATCAAATGGTGCTGTTTCACAGAAAGTGAAAAATACGTTAAAATTCCACGGCTAATCCTCTAGTTTATCTTGGTAACAATCCGCCATTTTGAGAACCTGGCGTAGTGATAGATATTTCCCGCAAAATATTGAAGAAAATAGTTCAAGCACTTGTTATGGTGCAATTCCGTTATACTTTTGTTGCTAAAAGGCGATAAGCATTATCTAAAAAAATTAAAAGTCACCAAAGGTCAGAAAAAGAAGCACAAATCTTTTTTGATTGTACTTTCACTGTTTAACACATTGTGAATGATCCATCTCGAAGCTTCCGGCGAAGTGCAATGGCAAAAAGTCTCGCGCTTGTTTTTCATACGTTGATTGGTCATCTTCATCAGACAACCTTGACCCACTTCTATCTGTATGTGCAGCTGGCTGGCTGTGAGTACGAAGCGGTAGCAAATTATTTTTATTCATGTTACAAATGGTTTTAATATAAGTTGAATCATTGTGCTCATATCGTATTTCCATACCAATTTTAATAATATCAGCTAATAATTTATAAAATATGCGGATTATAGTTGGAGGTGGAGTCAGTCGTGTAGACTGTAGTGATGGTTGTCCGTCGATTCGAGGAAGACTTTTTGTGAGCTACTATGGTTTGTGAGTCCTCATATGAATAAACAGTCCAATTCTGGATTTTTAATGTCTCTAGCATGTCTGGCATTGGGACTAACAGGGACATAACAGGAACATAAACAACAGGCACATATGTGTACTAGTACTATTAAAAAAAAAACATTTTTCACAATAAATAATTTGTCCTTGATACTTTTACCATTTCAGTGCTTCTGAATAAAGTGTTGCTGCTATGAAATTGACATTAGATTTTTCTCTGTAATTCCCAATGTATAATTTGAATCTCACTTTATATTCACTCAATTTATTTCTTTTTCTTTTTATTTCAGAAACAGAAAGTTGAATGTGAATCTACATGGAGCAACGGTTTATCCTGAAAAAAAAAACAAGGATGCTACACACCTGATATAATGCATCAGAGTTTAGTTACTTAGACAATTCAACATATGAACATTCCAATTCACATAGATTAGTGTACACATGTGTATATATTTTCTACGGCGAAAAAATTTCATCCAAATGAACTCCTGTGGGATTCAACATTTAAATATCCAAGCTAATATACTATTACTGTAAGAATGTCTGGAAGTTATTACTTTGTGATTGTTGGTCACCATGACAATCCAGTGTATGAAATGGAATATCTACCACCAAGTAAAGCTAATGACCCAAAGGTAAGATACAGATGGAAAACTGAAGTGTGCATATCACAAAATGTTCCATTGAAAGCCAAATAGTTTGGGACATTGAAATAAGATGTCTTTATCTATGAAATTAAAATTGCAAAACTTGAACAATTTTAATAAGAAGATCATTAGATCAGGTAAAAGCTGTTTGAATATGTTTTTATCTAGTCTGACTTTTTTATTTGTTCATAAATTTTGCAAGACAGTTGGGCAAAAGATGCTACTGTCATTTGTGAATCAGACTACAAAAGTCTGTTAAAATGCAATCGGGATGCTTCCTAGCTAGTCTAACCAACTAAATTTTAGTACAAGATCATTTTGCTCCCAACTTATTTATGTAGTCTTTATTGTTGCATTAGTCAGATAACTGTAGTTGTGAAATTGTTGTTTCTTCATTTTAGAAAGATGACCATCGTCACTTGAACCAGTTTATAGCCCATGCAGCATTGGACCTGGTTGATGAACAAATGTGGATGACAGGGAATATGTACCTGAAGATAGTCGACAAGTTTAATGAGTGGTTTGTCTCTGCTTTTGTCACAGCTGGAAGTATCCTTTTGATTTTGGTACTATTCCTTTCTGAATGTATGACACAAATGAAGCTAGATGATATTTGTAACCATATGTTTAATTCAGGGTGTAGGTAGATGTGTGTGTGTGTGTCAGAGAAAGAGTAATAGAGCATTTTCCATGTTAAGAATCAAACGGTGACCTTGAAACAACAAGAACAATATTATTTTAGTTGACTGCCCTCTAATATAACTTAAAACTTAGTGATGGCAGCTATTTGTTGATAGATACAGGTCACATTTCCTTAATCATTTGCTTCAGGAATGAGATTTCTAATGCTTCATGACACCAAAAATGAAGATGGTATTCGAAACTTCTTCCAAGAAATGTATGAAGCTTATGTAAAGGTGAGTTCTTCATCTGTGTCATGGTGCATCTTATTTTCAGACATGATTTTTTAAATTTGAAACCCTTTTTTATGTCTATTTTAAAGTTTTAAAACAACATATCCATTTCTCCTTCCTTGCTCTAACAAGCCAAACTCATTTCTAAGGTTTATGTACAACTATCATTTTGCAACATCTGGGTTCATGTTTCCTAACAAAAAAAAAATTTTTTCCAGTATGCCATGAATCCTTTCTATGAGCCCAATACTCCTGTTAAGTCGGCAGCGATGGACAAGAAAGCACAGACTTTAGGCAAGAAGTACCTTACTGGTTGAAGATATTGCTGGGACAGGATAGTAACTGAGAACACGCTTCATTTGGAAGAGATGGAGTTGTTTCTGAACATAGATGTAAATACACTGTTATCAAGAGCCATGGGATATGTTTTGGGTTGCAAGATTAAGTTCATTTGAATCAATAATTTTGTTGCTAATTGTAAGGAAGCAAACATAACTGGAAAGGATCGTTGTTTGAAGAGGTGAAAAACAATTGAAATAGTGGGACTGGTAACTGTTTTGCATGAGTGGACAAAGAAATATCAAGAGGAACAATGGAGTTGTCATTGAGAAATATCAGGCTCCATTTGCTCTTGGATTCTTATAAATAATGATACATGCCAAGCTTAAGAAAGTCGATATCTGGTGTGAAAATTTTATGTATTGCGACAGTGATTATGGCAATACATTATGTATGCTAATAAATGTGCAATTTTATATCCGAGGTCACTGATAGTTCTTGTTCAAAAGAAAAAAGTGCTGGAAGATTCTTTTTTGACGTCAAGCTGAATCATCATAATTATGCCATATTTGGGGTCTCTCAGGTCTTTTTAGCCCTCCTTATGTGATTAAGTTAGTTACTAATACATGTGAAAAGTTCTGACACTTGAAAGGAAAATAACTTCATTTTAGGGGGGAAAGTGCCGTAAAACGTATTTTTTCTGTGTTGTTTTCAATGTATTTATTGTGGAATTTTGAATATCACACGAGGACCTGTTGTCCCTTAACCTAGTTGATAACACCACAAAACGCCCAAAGAAGCATACCACCCAAACCCAATATAGAGGTGCATTTCACAAGTTCAAGTCTCAAAAAATGAAATTGAATGAATTCGATGTATTATCCAATGTTTTAAAACTTACATGTGTATAGAACAAAAATCCACAAATGTCCCAATTTTACGCCCACGCGTTTCTGTTTTGTAAGCAAATAAATTGATAGCCGTTTGAAGTGAAAAAAGCGTAAGAAAGAACATACGTTACCACTGAATCGCCTGATACAAACACGATCATTAGTTGAGTGCTGTGGAAATTTGTGCAAGCTAAACACTATCAGAACCCTATGAGTCATTAATAATGGAAAAGTGATAGGAAAATACCTTTAAATTGACCAGATCTAGGAAAATTACTTTCAAACTAAAGATAATTTTTCTTTACAATGTCCACGTTGATGACTCTTTCAATAGCAGTAATTGTCAATTGCATAGAGAATTGAAAACTTTGTTACCTAAAAGTTATCTACCACTGGTCATATTCGTCGTGAATTTAAAACTCATTGACAGTTTCAAATTTTGGGTGTATTACTTACAATACCAACTACGCCTCGCATACTACGCATACCGTAATGTAACGTATGTTCCACAGCCATAGAAAAGATACGGGACACGAGTTTAATAAATATTGATAAGATATTTTTTCTCTTTTTTTTCGTAGAATTTATTGAGGTGTTTAAAAGTAACTCAGACATCAAAAGTGATAACCTATTACACAAACACGAACCGGGTATCAAACGTCTTAATCATTTGCATGTAAAGAAACACAGATCCCAGAAACATGTTACCTACCACCTCTTTAAACGAAGCCTTTTTCAACACACCTATAGGTTTTCAAATACATCAGAGAATTCGTTCAAATGAGCTTTACTATCCTCTCTGAAAGGTCTAAATTGTCTTGCAGATATCGGCCCTTTTGGGAATTTAAAAGAAAATATGTATATATATCATGTTTGTTCCATCTATAAAAAGTAAGTGGCTCACAAAATTACGTTTTTAAGTCTTTCCATTGAGTGGGTATAAGAAACAGATATCACTTCAGAGTTCAAGGGTCTCTACGGTCCTTGTCAGTCGCTATTTAAGACAAATTATAGGCTGCATGATTTCTTGTAAAAGTTTCCTTGAGATTTCTTAGATGTTCATACAGTGTTTTTACTGTGCCAACGTGATGGATGATTTTTTTTTTTTTTTTTTTTGGTTACTGGCTCTCTTGGGCTCTACTATAGTCGTCTCGTTCAAAAATGTATACAGCTTGCTCCTGCTACTCCCATCCGTCGACTTTTCGATCAGTTCATCCCCCTTTTCGCGAGTTCTCGACCAACGATTCCGGCAAATACCAGTAGCAGCGGAAAGAAATCTGAGACAACGGTACGTCTTCGCAATCTTCTTCTTCGCAATCTTCGCAATGTTTTTCATCGTACTTCTTGGTGTAACTCGTTAAACTTGACCCACTGTAGCTAAAAAAAACATTTTCTATAAGTCATCATATTTTTAGGATGATGAGTCTTATTGAATATTTTATGTATATATAATATTATTTTTATCCCTAAGGATAAAGGCAACAATTTGCTACATTGTTATTATTGCTAAAATAATTAGGGTGGGGTTATAAGATAAAAGCGGCCTTGTTTGACCAAATCGATATTCTTTGTTGCCTTCTTTTTGTTATAAATAAGACTATGAAAGTTTGTGGTACACTGGGATGGAGGAGACAAAAGTAATTGCTTCTGCACAGTGTTAGCTTGGGTGCATAGCCTGCTGTATGATGCGTTCTGTCTTAATTTTGGGGCTTGTGGGAAATTCAGGTGGTTCCGTATTTCGTCTTCTACAATGGCTAAATCGTTGCCGGATAGCATTCTCCCTCTTTCTTATGGAATTAACCTGTGATTGTAGTTCTTTAATTGTTCATTGTGACTGCCTTCAGTTTCTTCTCAATCGTTTCCACGTTGCGGCCACCTCGCACACACAACAAGTCTCTCAGGTGGTGATTGCTGTGGACTTGCCTCGGGAACTTCTATAGCAGCTAGGAGCTCTTCTTTCCTTTGGTGAAGTCTACGTTTTCGCGATTTAGTCTTCGCATGCCTCTTTTGTCTTTCACGACATTTATAAAGAGGCGGAAGGTAGGCCTACATAGTATTTAGAACCCGTTTTCTTTCGCTTCCAAATAAGCGTCACCCTCATTTTTTACGAGATCGATATATCTTGTTTTCGCATTTTTCTGAAATAATGATGTTCCGTTCGGTATCAATGTATTTGGCACTGCGCTCACTGCGCTCTTTGGCGATTATTTTTTCCTTCCAAAGTCTTGTTTGACATTTATTTCCGTCTTTGACATTCATTTCTGTATTTGAATTAAAATTTTTATTACAACAAAATCATTCACTTCGCTTACATCGTTACTGTGGATTTTATGGATTTATTTACACTTGTAACTAACCTCATCTAAGCTTTAGCTCGAGCAGACGTCAGAAAGAACCACCTCACATCTCAAACAGAAGCTAATTTTTTCTTTCGGAGCCAGTTTCGGGTACAAGTAGATTTTCACTGGTAACGTATGTTCCGGTAACGTATGTTCCAGGCCACCTAATTTTTATTTTCATAACGTGCTCTTATATATTTTAAAGTGATTCGATCATGTTAAATTAAATATGACGTAAGGACGTTTTTTATAAACATTTAAACCGTAGCTAATGGGGCCTGCGTCACAGCTAATACTAGGTAACGTATGTTCCCTAGGAAAATTGACAAAATGTTTCATTTTGTGCAAGTACTTGGTGCAAGAGAAAACAATGTTTTCTTTTGCTGACACAAAAATCTATAGTGATTCCATTGATAGTTTGACATTTCAGATATAATATTTGGAGCACGAGGGGGAAAATAATTTATTTAATGCTTATTTTACTGTCGGTAGGGTGTATTTTCCCCGTTTTTTTAATATTCAGTGACAGGCAAACTTAAGTCGCTAAAAAACAATTAACTGCTCTATACAAAAGCTTTTCGTAATTTTTTACAACGTTATACTTGTAGGAGATAAATTAAAGAACAAAACCCGTGATGATTGAATTTTCAAAGTGATTATAACGTTTCCACAGCTAGACGTTATGCATTTGTGACAGTAACGTATGTTCCTTTTTGGGGTAAGATGATGAATTATTTTTTATTATTCGAGGTTCCAGGAAAGTGAAACTTTAATACAAACTTCTTTACGTGGGACCCTAAAATAATCAAACATAGTTTGTAATCTGTGCATTACATATTTTTAGGAACATGCCTGTGACATCGTTTGCACCTCTATATTGGGTTTGGGTGATACATGTAACTGCCGATCAAAAGACGAGTCCATATCCACCACAAAAATGTTTACTACACATGTAGGCAGATTTCGAAACCTTTACCTCTTCCGCATTATCGAGTGTACCGCTTGCATATCTACTGGAGATTTACTTTCTGATTGGAGAAATGACAGGAAAAATAGTTCCATATGAGGCCTGGCGTCACTTTTGTGCGTTGTGAGTGACCTTTTGATAACCACCCTGAGGCTCGACAATATCTAAAATTGATAATTTAAAATGAGAAACTGCACATGGATAAACACTCTTTAAAACCTACTTTTGCCTTTGATAAAAACTCCTTATATACTGCCTTACATAAATTATTTTGGATAAGATAAACATTCAATGTTCAGTGACTAAATAAATTAACATTTACGCACGTCATCTTATGGTTGACGTCATAATTGCAGTTTGGGGGTAAAAATTGAAAATGGGTTTCTTAAATTGTGGGACCGAGGCTCAAACAATCATGTTGTCCAATGAGCGTACGTAAGCCCCGGTAACAACTGGACGCACGAATTTTAGGATCTTACGTCCCCTGCGAATTTTGGGTGCAATAAAATCCGTGGAGTTCTCCCTTTCTTTTACTTCTTCCTATCTTCTTTTCCGCTCTCTAAGCTTCTTTCCGTTGTGTTTTGGAGACATTAGAATCCGAAATGAGCAAAATTCGAAATTTTTGAAAGTTGCTCAATCGACGTTAATGAGGTACGTGTAACACAAATTATTTGAATGTCCTGCCTTAACAACAGGAAGAAAATGTGAATTGATTGAAAGATATGTGGTTTCTTTTCATTTTATTTTTGAAAAAAAAAAAACGAATACTAACTATTTTCAAAGGAAAAATGAAAGATTAGTCGATGTGTGTATGAGCGTCAAATCTGTCATGTTATGTAGTCTATGTAAGAGTACGCTTATATTTTTGCTTTACTAGCACTGGTCATACACGCGATCTTGACGCTGTTTTTTTAATGAACGTCTATGGAAATAAAGACCGATAGTGGCAAATACAAAAGATAATATTTTTAATTGATTTGCAGTTAAATCGGTCCATTTTTCACGTTGTTAACACATGCATTTTCACGAAGTTTTAAAAGATTATAAGGCCGTTTCGCCAACACGTGCGGAGTTCTGGGGTTTATGATGTCAGTATTGTTATTTAAATAGACTTGACAATGTATGTTACTATGCGTGGCCTGTGCATTGTTTTACTTGCTTAAACAATATTGAAAAGGGCCATGTTACAAATGTATCTGAACATAAATATGGTACTTATATGGAGAATACCCTCCAAGCCTTTGCATTGTAAGTCTCCTTTTGCGATGCTCTTCCCCTTATATATCTCACGTCCACGATACTGGGTAAAAATATTCGGGCATGGGCAACATGGCGCCAATCTTTTGAGCACGCTTTCGGTTTAGAATATGCAACGTGTTTTGCTTTGAATTCATAAATTTTGGAAAATGTAACTTTTTAGAAGAATTCGTGTGGCGACTTTTTAGAAGAGAAGCCTTTTAAAGTTTGATGCTCACTGCTGCACACCGACCAATAAATTTAACATAGAAGTCAAGACCATGTTTTTTATATGGCGTTACCCCAACTTGCCAACTTAAAAATATTATTCAGCAGTTATAACAACAGTTATTGATTACAGAATAAATCTATCAACGCGAAGTACCTGTACTTTTGACATTTCCATCCACCTGTGATTAACATATACAGAGGATTAACTTCTAAATTTACAACTTGCATAACCCTTTTGCAATCCTAATTTTGAGACTAAATTTAATTATAACATCTTATTGTTATATCGAACATGTTCTGTATCTTTTGCCGCGTTCTTTTTTTCTTCTTGAAAAAAGTAGTGCGAATGGGCACTAATTTGTTTTCATGGATTGATTTTTTAGCCAGCAGACATTTTGCTGGGAGGGAGAAAGATTGACAAAATATCATCCAATCTTGCAAGTAAGTCTATACACTTAATTTCCATCTTATGAGGTTATTGGTACATTTGCTTTTCCATGCTCGACGTTAAGCGTCAAGTAGAATATTCGCAATCTAGTCCATTATAGGACCAATTTGGAAAGTAATTGCAACAGTTTTTATTTTACCACATTGCTTTCCTATGAAGTCTCCAAAATGACATACTAAAAGTCCTAAGAAATCCTAGCCGGGGGTAATATGGAAAAAAAAGATGGCCTCCAATGCCATAAGAGTATGTGGACGGCAGGGGTATCAACTACAACCAGGGGGATATAGTGCCCATTATCAAATTTAGATTGTTAATCAGTGTTTTCCATATCTTCATTACCCCTATTATACGTCAATGGTAGATTAAAATTGTGTTTCCCTCAGCATTTTGAGAAAATGCCAGATGGCTGCCATTTTCTATAGAAATTTATTTTTAAAGCCAGATGTTCACAAGCACAACGAAGCTCAGCGATGCATAAATTTACAAACAGGCTCGGAATATAGACAACTTTGTAAACTTTTAGGTTGGATGACGCGTTAATATCACTTCCTAGGTTCGTGGTCAAAATATTTACGCTATGAAGAAATCCAACGCTGACAACAATAACCAGTTTCAGTCATGTAATGTTCACTCGTTGCTTGCTCAGGTACATTTTAACGATATGTGGGGAATCACACTCTTTAGAATCAAATCAAGACAATTACTTCATGGATTTAACTTCTTATTCAGAATAGTAAACAGGCTTACATTACCTCTTTAGACTTAACGTATTATAAAGAATTACGGACTACAATAAGCAAGTATATTACGTTAAAGGGATAATAACTCTTTGTTTCGGCCAAAAAATGAATTTTCCTGGAGTAAACAATAATTTTCCCATACTTACCAATGGTTAATGAATCCATTTTTACATTCAAAGTTAGTCCCTGGTTTTTTTCTAAAAAGTTTGGTTTTTTGTTAAAATCTCTTAAGAGATTATAACAGAGTATAGCCATCAATGGAGGTCACGTGATCTGAAGACAATCTCAGATATCAGAATAATAGCTATAACTGCTGTTTTTGTCGTAAAACAGAATATATTATATTTCTATGAGCTATTCACAATGTTTTTATTGTGAAATATAGATCTCATACGAAGAGTTATTATCCCTTTAAGTTACCGAAATTCCCTGTGAATTATTAAATTTCTCCGACAGTGAGTGTAATTTCTGTTCGTAGATGTTGTAAAAGAAGTATGAAATAATAAACATTGAAGGTCGTTAACCACATTAAATGTGCCTAATATACCTACATATACACCTGTCGTTTCATATTTGCATATTGGGGTGGAATGTTTTCATACGCACTTTTCCTGCCTATCGATTGAATTTATAGTATTTATAGGGTGACAATCGACTTTTACACTTCCCCAGTGTACCGGTACAGCGTGAGTGCTATTTCTCTCCAAACCGAAAACTGGATTTTATGTGCATTGTCCTTAAAAACAGTAAGAAAGAACCTACACATTTTGGGGCACAAACAATTTATTCTTATTTCCTCAAATTCCAATCATAAGACTCCTTCTATTTATCATGTCACATTCAAATACCATGAAGCATCCCACAAATTCTCTTTTTTTCCACGACTAACCCTTTTAAGCTATTCGTCAATGCACATTTTCGTATTTGGTAAGGGTGTGATGTTTAGCGCTTTTACATAATTAGTCTAAATATATCTACACCTCCACAATGGGTGACAGCAATGGGTAATTATCTTGGAAAGTCTGTCAAAAAATCCCATTGTTGGATTAAAATCGGATGGATTTCCCTAGTTATAAAAAACAATTTTATGTTTCCAAACATTGATGTGCATTTTAAACTTTTTAATTCTTAGCCGAAAATGACACTAAAACAGCGCTTAAATCTGCGTTTTGCAGCTGTGCCTAATGGAAAAGAAAGCTCTCAGAATAGTATTGTCAAGTTTTTTGGACATCTTAGGGATCATTTACTGCAAACACACTAGAGAAAATACAAAATTGCTCTTCGTCACAGATTTTGATGGTTTAAGAAGACCCGTTGTTTTGCATTACCATCCCATACACGTGAACTATTCATATCGTAAATATCGGGATTTAAATACCTAAAGTACACTCTGCTTTTCATAAAACAGCAAGTTTAAATAAATCCTGTCATCTGAGCATGAAATTCACTAAATTAACAAAATGATATCTATCAGTTTTTTACGCTATTACCAAAGGGAGCTTATTGTTTGCTTTGCGCCTATACAAAATTGCAAAAGAAGACGGCAACAATGCACGCGAGGCGCTTGGAGGTGAATTACAAATAGATGAATCGACATATCTCCTTTCTGTGATGGAAAATGACCTGTGGTTTGAATAATATACATGTATAATGAAATATTTTATTCTATTTCAGGGAAGAATGGACATAAAGTGTTTGGCGTTGGTTTTCTGCTTTCTGGTAAGACAAACTTGCAAATTTGTATAATTATTTCTCATTTTTGTTCGCTACCATTTCGTTTATATTCCTTATTATCCGATTCATTTAAATAATTTCAGTTGTGAAATAGTTGCCATCAAATCAAATATTGTACTACATGTATATGGAATACAACATATTAAATTTTAACTGACCGGCGTTTTGTCTCCAAACCTACAGGAGTTATCAATTACTAAAATACATGTCACATTTGAAAATCAGCTTGATTAGACCTTTTTTCTTGAAGTTATGCTGTTTTTATTCTTTTTATTTTTATTTTATTTTTATTATTTTTTTTCTGAATATATTATACTATATGCAATACTGATACCACATTACAGGGAAAATCATTTGACCTATTGTCTCCAAACTTACAGGAATAATGAATAAGACTTAGATACAGCTCGATACACACTCAAACCCAATATAGAGGTGCAATTGATGTCACAAGCATTTTATTAAAAATATTTGCTGCACAGATTGCTAACTGTGTTTGATTATTTTAGGGTCCCACACGAAGAAGCTTGTATAAAAATTTCACTCTCCTGGAACCATGAATAATTAAAAATAATTCATCGTTTAACCCCAAAAAGGAACATACGTTACTGTCACAAATACAAAACGTCCAGCTGTGAAACGTTCTACTCACTTTGAAAATTCAGTCATCACTGGTTTTGTTCATTAATTTATCTCCTTCAAATATAACGTTGCTAAAAATTATAATAATCTTCTGTATAGAGCAGTAAATTGTTTTTGAGCGACTTTAGTTTGCTTGTCACAGAATATTAAAAAAAAAATGGGGGAAATACACCCTACCGACAGTAAAATAAGCATTAAATAAAAAATTTTCCCTTCATGATCCGTATATTATATCAAAAATGCTAAACTATCATGGAACCACAATATATTGTTCGGTCAGCAAAAGAAAACATTGTATCTCTTGCACACAAGTACTTGAACAAAATGAAACATTTTGACAATTTTTCTAGGGAACATACGTTACCTAAATATTTATAAAAACGTCCAAGGTTACGCCATGTCTAATTTACCATGACTGGACCACTAAAAAAAAAACGGAACGCGGCATTAAAATGGCAAGAACATACGTTACCGTACGGTTTTTGGAACATACGTTGCCATATAGGGCTCTTTGAGTAATGATAAAGACATGGTAAAATTTAAAAATTGAATTTCAGTTGAGACAGTCGTGGATTTTTGTTCTCTACAGATATATGTTTTGAAATATTGTATACAATTTTGAATTCATTCATTTTTATTTTTTGACACTTCAGCATGTGAAATGCACCTCTATATTGGGTTTGGGTGTACAGCCTGACGGGGTTTTGTTTACAGACTATATTATACTTATGCATTTAACATTTAAGGCAAACTTATAGTCCTCTATTGTCTTCTAACATATACAATAGATCAATATTACAATTATACAGGCAGAGTTTGGAAACTAGATCGATTGGGCCTTTTTTTCCAAAAGTTATGCTATTTTTTACTATTATAATCATACGTTATGCCAAGGACGAAGTGCGCGTTGGAGTTCCATGGGCTTAGGTCAATTGCTAGTCACATTTACTGAATATCCATGATACTTTTATCATATTATTAAAAATAAGTTGGCAATATGTTATATTGCATCAAATGCCGTGTTATGACTGTTAAAGGAAAACCGTGTTACTTATTATTCTTAAAACTTACAAAAAAGGTTTATGGGACTGTAATACAGCTTCTTCTTGTCGTTCTTGGAGAATTGCGTCTGTTGGAATGTTCTTTTTTCACATATTGGTATTTTCAATGTTAGCCTTGGATAGCTTTTAGAACAGATGATCCACAGACTAAGTGGTCCTCAGACTAAATGTGGCCAACTCCCCTTAAAAACAAGCTCGCCTCCCCGCCTTGGAGCCAAGATTTGGCCCATTTAATGCCGCATGTGGCGGGGAGACCAACAGGGGATTTGGCGGCTTGCGTTTAAAGGGGGTCGGCCAAATTTAGTCCGTGGATCAGTTAGTCCGTTGATCATCTCTTCAGAAAGCGCCCTTAGAACTCCCATGGGCTTAATGTCATATGGTAGTTGCATTTTCTATATGTCTATGATAAGTATAGTAGTTAAATAAAATCGGTGGTGATTATGCTGTTAATCATTATGTGACATTGCATCAGAATTTACAACATCTATTTCGTGCACTGCCATCACAAACGCGATGAAGGGAAAAAGCGTCACTTATTATAATTTCTAAGCTATAAGAATAATTCTTAGGACTGACATAAAGTTAAAATTGGAAAACCTGCTTGCTTTGATTGGATTATTATTATTATTTTGAATTATGTATGATGTTTTTTGTGAATTTTTCATTTTTATCATTCTGGCATTTCTATTCTTATATGTGAACTCTCATGTGCCTAAAGCCCTATGCCCGTTACATATCATATGCTCTTCATTATTAAAATTTGGTGTTGAATTTGCCGTTACATATCATGAAATATTGCATCAAATTTGAAAAATACCTATTTTGTCTGTCATTATTTCCTGCTTTTTGACTGTACATTTGACAGCTTTGCTGCCTTGTTATCCTCGAAATGATCTCATTCTTCTTTAAAAGATATGTGACTATCTTTGGGATATAAGCAAAGGCTTGGTCCCTGTACTGATTTTTAAACTTAAGGTCGTGCTTGGGACCCCATCACCTGTGCGAAGGAGCACTGTAAGACCACAACCGGGGCTATGTAGTCTTCAAGGCCGTGCGCTCCCTCCCTGCCAGCGTTGGCACAAGATAGATCGTAATGGTTGTTGTAGACCCTGCAAGTGTCATAAAGGGAAAGGGAAAAAGCTGAGCACACAGGTAAGTTTGGATTTTTAAAATGAAAATCTATAAGTCGCAGCTTTGGTAAGCAAATACTTGTAGGCAACCATCCATTAATACCTCCCCCATGAACCCTCCAATTAACTGAGAATTGCTCAGATTTCAGCTGATTTCAGCTTAAACTTTAGATTACGTCATCTTTCGTTCAAATTTATTTGCACGCAGTTTCATAAAACGAATTGGACTTCTACGTCTAAGTTACTCTTGTAAATCACATCTTTCCTGACACATTATAATTAGAGCCTATTTGTTGTTAATTTCTGTTTCAGGATCCGTGCAAAGAAAAGTGCAAGCCATGCATCGCCAAAGAAACTTTCAATCAGCACTTTGATTATTTTTGCAAGTCCTGCCAGACGTGTGGCGCTAACGAAGTTGTAGTCCAGCAGTGTACAGTATCCTCGGACACAGTGTGTCACGCAATGTACGCCTTTGTGTAAGCCAAATTTTATGTAAAATATTTGAGAAATATTTCAGAAAAAATGACGAATAAATTTATTATGATTCAGTTAGGTTACAAAATATTACACAATATACCGTATAAAATTTGGAGGCTCTATGTTCTGTTTTGAACATTCTTGTGCAGGTTTAATATCAAATGGCGCGTTTATACCTTTGTGTAACTGAATTACGGTATGATTGAAATAACGTTTAATATACGGTACATACATTTGTCCAAATATGACAACACACACAGCAGTTTGACGTTAGATGCTGTTTTTTTTTACTGTCCTGAACGATTTTTTATGATCTGGAAAACGGGTTCATAAACAATGTTTTAAATAAGTGAACAAGGCTATAAGGTATATAATTCGCGCAAATATTGCAACACCATGCCTTCAACTGTAATAACACTTTGTATTTAAGTAAGTCAACATGCTGATTTATGGACCATTTATAACTGATTTGATACGTTTTTTATATGTAGCCTACATTTACGCTTGTAATGTGCATGTTATTTAACAACTAATATATGCCGTTCCATATCATACTATAGGGTTACTTGTTTTTACAGTACTAAGAGTAGGCCTAGTGAAAACGGCGTCCAACATGGAAGGACACATCCAGGGAACACATCGAAATACACAACCAACATGTCAGCCATACCTACGAGTTCGACTGTCACGTTTTCAACTGTGGCTTTTGGCACAACGTCCACACAGAAGGACATGGAACTTTCAGTAAAAGAAAAATCTTGTAAGGTTGACTTAACAAAAACCATGCATTAACACTTAGTCAATTTTTTGCTTTGCATTAGGCCTACTCAAAAAAGACGTAATACAGACATGTATGTATAATGCAGATTACGCATTGCAACTTCCATGTCACTGGTTTATCCAATATGTTAAAATGGGGCTGAGGGTTCAAAGTTGCAAGGTCATTTTCCATTTTTGTTTTCTGAAAATATGACCCATTTTGAAGAATTTCATAGTGGGCCTGTAGATCACTCTTTTTCATCCAAGACAAGGGACGGGGACGGAAAGTGTCATTTTATGCAGTAAAGAGGGTAGAGTGCCTAAATTTTTTTGTAATGTTACTGAATATAATTTTATACATTCTCTATTAGCACAACAGTATCGATTACTTTTAAAACGTGATATAGATAATGCTAGATTATCAAATTTTAGTGTTAAAATGTGTGTGTAAGATGTGAAGACTGTACCAATCATGAATCACAACATGTTGGTGAATTTACGCTCATACCTAACAGTTTTCGTTCTTTTTTACCTTTCACACTATAGCAGCTTTCGATCCAGTGAAAACAACGGTATTTGTCTTACTTGCTACATGCACAGCTCTTTTAATCATAAGTTGTTGTTTTGTGATCATCTACCGAAGCAGGAGGAAGAAATGTATCTGTAAGTATTATACATTTTAATGTTCTTATTTATTTTATTTTATTATTTTTTGTTTGTTTGTTTGACATTGAAATATCGATTCTTTGTTTGTAGTCTCGAAGATTAAACGCATTAATCTTTCTCAGAAATTTCAATTAATAACTCATGACAACTTCACCTTTTGACTTTGATTGGATATTCCACATACCTAGAGTATATATGGTCTCTGCAGACATTTTGCGATATCGTTTAAAAGAACAACCGAAAGAAATATTGAAACTAATATCGATCGAGTCACTTAATTTCTATAAGTCACTTTTCTCTAACTGGTTTGAACATTTTAAGGTCACAGTAAATTGCCTATAATGACTTTCTATTCAAATTCAATAGTAACTATGGGTGTATCTTTGCCAGTTTTGAAAGTGTGAGCATTAAAATTAAAAAAGTTGCAAAGTTTAGTTTATGGCGTAAAGTAGGTCAAAGGTCAATTTCAAGGTCAGAGTAAGATTAATATAACCAGCACATTATAATAATAGTACATTATGGAAGGCATTAGCAAAAGCATTAATTAGCGTATTTTAAAATAAATAAATAAATAAATAAATAAATAAATAAATAAATAAATAAATAAACAGAATTTGTCCCTGTTTCGTTGTAATTAAAGCCCGAAGTGACCCACCTATGAACCACATACCTACCAGTGATGGTCTCTCTGATGATCTGTCTTTTACTACCTGCACTACGTCACTCTCTGCACTTTCGCGGGCCAACATCAGCTGCAACGTGCGTGATGGACGTAGAGGGCCGAGGCTGTTGGATAACCCAAGTATCCAGCTTCCCATGACCTCTGCAGTTGTTGGAAATATTTCACCAAGGTAAATGTTGACGATAAAAGCAAACTATTTTAACTTATATGGACGTTGTGGGGTTTTACTGACTTACAGTATATATCACCAGGAAATGCTCAAAGAAATGCTTAAAATTTGTTCTATCATCACAAGTGTAACTATTATAAATATTGTTGATAAAACTATGTTATAGTTTTAGTGCAAATACATCGTAACTTTAATGTAAAGGTTTGGTCAAAAACGTTCGTATAGAAAAACCCTGAAACTGGACCGGTGTAACGAAACGGAGGTCCTGCCCTTTTACGGTCCAGCGGACGCTATGTTTTAAATCTGACAGTCCGCAAGACACTAAGTTCGGAATCCTAGTGTCCGGGGAACACTACATTTTGAAACGTGGGGACCCCGGACCGCCAGTTTTAAAATGGAGGGACCGTTTTGAAATTCCGAGTCCTTTCAGAAAGATCGTTGTTACTGTCCACAATCGATCACTTGAGCCTTATTCATTGGTTTTGAATGTATTTTTGAATAATTATAAGGAAATAAGGGTTCGTTATTTTTTTAAAATGTTAAGAAAACTACTTAATACGGATGGAAAAAGTAAACAATAAGTAAACAAATACAAAGAAAGAATGACAATCTTGTGTTAATTTTCATTTATTCCACGTAGATGGTTAATCTTTGTCGTCTTCTGGTAGTGTTCTGTAATAAAGAAATTTTGTATTAAAGCATATGTTTGATAAAAAAAAAAAAAAATGATCATATTATAATACAATTATTACACTATTTATCAACAAGTATAAACCATAATGGAGTAAAACTGCGTTATATACGCGCTTATGTTATAGATGTCGACTTCAAACAATGTGAAGTACCTTTTCTCTTGGTGCAATTTAAAAGCAGCAACATTTACAGGGGTCTTAAGTTTCCCGCCACATTTGTCTGGCCACATGTAGGTCCCCTTCGTTTTATCCTTTTCCACTACCACGTATGGTCCCAGGTAACGTTGTGCTTTACCCCCTGTTATAGAAAGAAATTCTTTCAAACATTCTTTTAGGAAATATGCATTTTGAAGTTAGGGCAATTCAGGGTTTGACACGATCTTGTGTCAGACGTAAGTAAAAAATTAACATTTACTTATTGTAAATCGATTTTACATACTTTCATTGTGCAGCTGTTGTATTATGGTGGTCATTCCTTCCTCATTTTCTACTACTTTTCTCCACTCTCCCCACACCGTTATTTTTTACCATCTTCTACATTAGATGTCGTTCTTTCTCTTTCGATAGTACAAAATACCCTCTTCGAGCTGCAAAAGAAAACTATATGCAAACTTCAGCTCATGAAATGTGTACAATATATTTAATATCAAACAACAGGTACTGGCTTATTGCAGTTTTAATAAAATGTTCCTTATTTTAACAGAACGTAGTATTGGTAGATGGAATACAGAAAACTACTTTACAGCAGCTCTTCTTATGCTACTGTGACGGGGGCTTTTACGTGTGATAAAAGCGCGTCATTGTAAAGTTATGAACAACTCCCTTTTTCCTGTGAAAGGAATTTTTTTTTGCTCAAACGGACTACATCAAGTTGAAGATGTGACCACGGTGTCTCTCCCTGAGTTTCTCCTTCCTAAGGCTCGGCTACACTACTACTTTCCCGACTCGCCTATGTCCATCGTGACTTCAGGCTAAAAACGGTGTGCTCGGGGGTATATAAACACGTGTTCGATGACATGTTTTCAGTTACATTTATTTGCCTATTTCATTTCGGCTAAGGGTATTTTTGCTGTCAATCTACTGTGTGATAAAAGTTTTCATTTTCACCATACCTTTTGGTAAAAATAAAATTGACTTTCCCATTATAAATATTCCGTTCCTTTGTCAGTGTGAGTTTAAAAAAAATGTAATGGTTTTATTATTAAAAACTGTAAAATGGCACTGGTAACGAACTAAATAAATAATAATAATCTTACGGAGGTATAAGGATCGAACACGAAACACAAGGACAAACTGCACTCTACTTACATTGGCCATTAGTGCCTGACGATGTTCCACTCGTCCATGAGGTCGCTGTGCTAACCACCCAGAAATTCATCGGCTTAATAATTTAAGCTTATTCTTTAACCTATAGACACGGATAACATATAAATAGAAGACAGAAATACATTGTATTCTCATTTATTGTCGGACTTCCGGACTCTCTGTTTCGCCATACGTAGGGTCCGGTGTAACAGAGAGTCCGGGAGACACTCAATATTAAGATTATTTAGGGTCTGGATGGACCCTGTATTTCAAAGCAGACTGTCAGATTCAGAAACCAGGGGTACGGAGGACCCCTGGTTTTTGAATCTGACAGTCCCGGACTCTGTATCACACCGGACTCTGAGTTCCGTCACACCGGTATGCATAGTTTCTCTTCTTTCTCTCACGCTCCTAAAGATATCCATATTTCACAATAAATACATTGTAAACAACTCATAGATATATAATAAACAGCAATTAACACAATAATTCTGGATTTGTGCTTGCCATCACATCACGTGACCTCCATAGTTGACTCTGTAATAATCTCTTAAGAGAATATTAAAAAAAAAAACGGACTTACTTTGAATGTGGAAATGGATTCATTAAATATTGGTAAGTTTGGGGAAATTGTCCTTTACCCCAGGAAAATCCATTTTTGGACAAAATGAACAGTTGTTATCCTTTTAACTTTAAATAATACGATATATTGAACTCAAACAATTTCCAACATGCAGATAAAAAGAAACAAGCGTTTCAATCTCTTTCCAGTGATTTAGACACATGCAATCCTGCACCCTCCAAAGATGCACATAAATCTGACTCAGAACTCTGTGACGCAACTCTGGATGTTGATGTCAACTTTTGGAGTGATGCCAACAGTTCTGTTTGCCAAATGCCTTCGAAGACCAATTCTGGATCCCGTTTAAACCCATTAAGTCTGCGATTTTTGCATCAGGGGTCCCCAAACGCACCTGACATTCAAACTATGGAAAGGTTAGATGTGGCACAGTGTGAAACAATCCCAAACATCCTGAAGGAAGAACTGAGGAGGTACGACTTTTTTTCAAGAAATAAATATATTTGAAATTTTAATAAATGTTACATTTTAAAAACAATTGTTTTGTATTAATAATTTCTATTATAGTCAAATATTTCAATGTCATCTATATGAATATTAATAAAAATTTAATGTGTAATATTCCGTCTGAAAACTTAAGAAATTACGTTTCTTGAGGTCTCGTTACATTTATAATAGTTGTTGGTGGTAGGCCTACTGTTTATTGCTTTTCACATATTGTTTTGTTTTTATTGTTACAATAAAATGTGTCCATTTTTATTTAGATACAAGTTTATCGACAGCATTCAGATCTGGAACAACCGACTCAGAGTTCACGTCTGTCTTAGCATGTGCGAGGGAAAGACAAATGAAGAGGTAGAGGAGATGGTGAAATCATTGGTGGAGACTCACGGGAATATAGATAAAACTGACTGTGACGTAATATTAGCAGAGTCTCCTGTTAAGTTGACATTTTACAATTATCCACCAAGCTCAGGTGCTAAATTAAACTTACAAAGTCTCCCGGACAAACACATGACGTTAGGGGCATACGCGACGACCGGGGATGAAGGTGTAGTGTACCTTCTGAGTGCAGGACACGGCGTTAGCAATGAAAGCGAAGACTTATTTAATGTACATTTAACCAATGGTCAAAACATTACATGCGTTTGTCGGTATCTCGTTAAGTTCGGCGCTTCAGGCAATTTTCCGTGGGTGGATATAACAGCCTTGGAAGCCTGTGGACTGAGGATAATGGGCCACTGCGCTTTGAATTACGTCCACCTTCGCGGCCTTTATTTACTGCAGGTATGGAAGTCTGATGTGAAGCTGCTGTCTGGAAAAGTTATGTACAAAATTGGAGCAACGACGGGGCGCACAGAAAGTGTGATCAAAGGGAGAGATTTCACGCAATTTAGCACGGGGATTGAGAATGTCGTATTTCTGGAGCACATTTATAATAATGAGATTTTTTGCAAGCCTGGTGACAGTGGCGCTATTGTGCGGAGAAAGGCAGACGACTCGGCCGTTCTCATGATAATTGGGGAAGCAGATTTCTCTCGATCCGGTGGCGAGAAGGGCATAATGGCATTCAAGTTGTGCGATGGTCTGGATGCACTTAAAGAAATGTCAGGATCCGAATGGAGACTGCTTAACCACACTAACGTGAAAGCTGAATAACAAACTATTCCACTAGGGTTCCTCAAATCTGCTTGTAAATGGGTGGTGAAAAAGTCCACGTCCCACGAGTGGGGTTATAACACTTGCCAAAACGAGGATTTGAAAATTTGAGACAATCTTTTCATCAGCACACGAACAATACGTGGTGCCTTGATATGAAACTAGACAACTTTTGTGTTTTTAATCTCCAAATACTAAAAAAAAATCAATTAAGCTAATAAAAAGGCCGAGAACAAGAACTTATTATATCGTATATTTTATACTAATTATTATTAAAGATAATAATAAACGAGTCGCATTTTGATGTACTCCATGCTATGATCTTTATTTTTTTTAAAATAGAATTTTTACGAGATTACAAATTGTATCGTATTGTTTGGTTCCATTGCCTCGCTTTCAAAAATTAGAACAGGCGCTCCAAAACCGGGAGACGAAGTTAATAATTTTATATTGGCCGAGTTCGCCCTCGCACAAGAATGTCCTCCCAGCATTATCTTCCTACGATTTTAAATACATTTTGCAATGTCATTTTCAATCTGGCACATGGAGCATTTTATGTATCAAGAGTGGGGGAGGGGTGAAAAATCCCCATTGGAGCCACATATAACACTAAGGGCGTATTCCCATAGATTTAAGATCGATCTATCCCCGTGGGGAGTCTCACTAGATTACTGTCAGATAATCCGGCTTAAATGTCCGTCCCGCCTACTACAAGCTGTAACTTTCGTGCCTGCTCGGCTGACAGCTATTAAGCCTGAACCCCCAGGGAGTTAGGTCGATCTAGTTTGGATCGATCTAATCTCTGGGAATGGGGTCTATAAATGCAATGGGAATGCCCTTGTAATGAAGGTAAAATAAATGTTATTCTAAGGAATTCCGATGGATTTACTTTTTAAAACAAAATCATCAGAACACTTCTAATATAAATTTTCAAAAAGACACCAGAGAGCAAATGAAACTAGAGGATCAGAGAGGCGATACCGCCTCCGAATATTGTACCACCAGCTGGAGCAAGCGCATTCGTATAGACCCCCACATACACAAAATAAGGGACACAGCCACCAGTTTTGTGCTTGACAAGCTGTAAAAATGCAATCAACAAGAATTTTTAAACTATTGCAAAAAATATATATGGTACAATCAAACTTAAGTTCTTCGTAAGGTAGGTCAAGGGTCAGTTTCAAGGTCACAGTAAATTGCCAGTATATGACTTCCTATTCAAGTTCAA